CCCCTATTCAAAAATAAGCACCTTCTTGGAATCAAAATGCATCTATAAATTTTATATGTGAAATCCATGGCACATTACAAGTGGAATTAGAAAATGGCATTTTTAGTCCCATTAACTTGCATTAATTTTTTCCATTCTTCCGGGGACCCATGGTCCAGAAGTAGATGGATATGTCTTTGGCTCCCTATGGGGGCCGTGACACATAATATTTTGTTATTTCATCTAAAAAAAGAGCTGATTTAAGACCCAAAGCCAGTAAACAGGAGCGGCCCAGAAGTTATTTTCTGTATCCTTAAGAAGCCACTGCATCTCTTTGTTTTGTTCTAATATCGGGTCAAGAAGGCTAGAGGCTAACATTGAACTAACAATGCTAATGGTGAACTAAAAGCAAATAGTCGGCTCTAAAATTATCTCAAGCTACTTTTTCACTTACCAAAAACTCGATATTGCAATGAAATGTATGTGTAAAATGAATGATGACCGTGGTGTTTTACTTTCTTTGACTCATTTGTGGAATGAGTTAGATGATGATTTGAAGAAATGTACTTCTTTACTAAAGTTTAAAGCAGGTGTAAAGTGTCACATATTTACAGGGTATGAAAAGTATGTATAGACATTAATGAATTTTCATTGTGGATATTTATATTGGGGAAAATAAAAGAAATGTATATTGGTTATGTATCTTAGGTGGAAAATAGGGTAGGCTAAAATAAGCTTTGCTTCTGCCTATTCCTTTTTTGGTTTAAATTCAAGTTGTTAATATTGTTTTGTTTGAAAAGAAAAATTTTATGTTAATGCTATAAACCAAAATAAAGACCGAAAGAATAAAGAAGACTCATTCACTACCAGCTGTTTCCTGATCGGTAAAGCCCTTCGCTGCCAGTGTTTCTTAGCATTTTTACAGTTGTTTTAAGAGTCACAGAACGTTGCGTGCTAGGATGATGTCAACGCCAAAACAACCAAAACAAAGAGTAGACTCACCTCTTACATCAGGAAGAATCTGCGCGTTTCGAGCGTTATCCGTTCTTTCATAATCCGTTGTGGAATTGTGATCGGCAGAAGCTTTTCCGGTTCGCACCTCGCTTTTTTTTACAGCAGCGGCCTTAAACGATCTCCTAACACATGGATTTTCTGCTTCCTGATCACGTGATGTGTGACGTATGCGGATGAAGATCAGCTTTAGAGCTGAGATGTTTGTTCTCACGGTGCGGGGGCTCGTTCCAATGCCCACACTGTAAAAAAATGCAAATGACGACTTTAGTCGTCATTGTCAGTGAACGGTTGGATTTAAAATGATGACTTTAGTCGTCAATGGCAGTGAATGAGTTAATGAGCCATTCAGAACTATAACAGCAATCTAACAGCAAGACAGCAAACTCCTCTAATGCTGGAGGGATACTACCATAATAAGTGTAGTAAGTGCTTCCTACTATATAACACCCAAGAGTACCAGCACCAGATAGTACATTGTATTTTTCTACTTATCTGTGTATGACTCCTCTTCACTTGTCATCAAGAATATTCTGGTGCTGATCCATAACTGGAAATAGCCATGAAACTCATTGAACGGGAGTGAGAAAGTAACTTTTTGACAGAGGTGGAAAGCAAAAAATTACATTTACTCACGTTACTGTAATTACGTAGCTTTTTTGTAAATTTATACTTTTTAAGTCGTTTTTAAAAGCTGTACTTTTACTTTTACTTGAGTAAGTTTTTAAAAAAGAATTGTAATTCGCTACATTTTAAATAATATCCGTTACTGAGTAAAAATAAATTATAGGCTTAATAAATTAAAAATATTACGTGTAGCAGCGTTGGAACGGAAAGACACCTGCATGAGCGCCGCGTCTAAACCTTGTGGGGGTGTGGGTGTACACTTTAGCTCAAAGACATCGGTTCAGTTCCTCAACTCCCTGTTTACCTCCTCTCTCCCTCCTCTCCTGTGGGTTGGATCCCGCACCTTCGCGCACCGGTGTGACGTCATAAGAAATCTGCTCGGTTCGGTAGCCGGACTCGGTTCCGTGTTTTAATTGTGTTTCTCTACCGCTCCACACGGCAATGGCAAAATAACGTTTAGCGCTCATAACAAGCGCATTATCAGCGCTCTGCTCATAAAACAGAAAACCTGCAGGCCTCTGTGAGTTAAAACATCCTGATACTGTTCAGGTGTAAACATTGTGCTCCATCCCTGTGTTTGAACTCAGAAGATGCTTCTTGATGCCACAGATATGTGATGATTTAGCTTGTTTCTTTATTTTACTCCAGAATAAGAGATTAAATTATTACAAAAGCAGTTCAATGTAGTTAAATTAGTCATTCAAAAGATTCTAACATGCTGCAGTGTGTGTGTGTGTGTGTGTGTGTGTGTGTGTGTGTGTGTGTGTGTGTGTGTGTGTGTGTGTGTGTGTGTGTGTGTGTGTGTGTGTGTGTGTGTGTGTGTATTACACATATAGGACTGCATGAGACAGCATGGTTTCATCAAATTCATGCTGTCCTATATCTTGGCTGAAGTAATGGCTCAGGAAAATAACATATTTCATACATAATGACGTCTCTGCAGTGTTTATGATAATGTTTTATCTTATCTTTGGTCTTTGAGGTGTAACTTATCATGATACTAGCCTTTTAAAACATGTTAAAGTTTTACAAGAGGAGATAAATGCATAAATTTAAAGTTCATGTTTGGAGACCTACCTTCACAGTTTGGAGGCTCACGCTGGTGAGGAGACACCATTAGTTCTAGTAACACCTGGGCACCCAAGGCCTGTTCTGACAGGATGGACGTTACAGGACCCTTAAGGATTCCAGTTGGACGATTGGAGGATTATAATGAACAAAATGATTTCAGTGGTGAATGGTTAAATGAGTGAGTGAACCCACCACCAAGGATGAACTCTGCTAGCTTTAAAAATCAGCTGCTCTAAATAAGCATGATGGTCAGAGAGGAGCTCTAGGATGGACACAAATAAAGGAACTGTAATGTAGAGGTAAAGTAGGGCAGGGCCAACGTTAGTAGCTGTCATATGGTCCATCTGAAATGTTTGACTGCATTAGGCTTGTTATATTATGTGACAGGTTAGAGCACAGTCTCATGTTAGAGTTTTGTCATGAAAACATTGAGATACCTCACACACTGATGACATCTTAAAAAATTATTTTTTCTCAAAATAAAGAATAATTTTAACAACAGTTGAAACTTACCATCCTAGAAAAACCTCGTCCAATCAATGTGCACGTCCTGTTCTCACTGATTGGATAGAAATCCCTCCTTCAAGCTGAGCGTGTGTGTATGTGTGTGTGCGCACACACACGAGCAAATTGTGAACTGGCGTTGTGATTTAGCACTACTTAGATGTAGCCATCCTTACGCTGACAAAAATGTAACCAACTTTGTAACTAAGTAACTTTTACTTTGAGTACATTTTGTTTACGATACTTTTTACTTTTACTGAAGTAAAAATTTTGGCAAGTACTTTTACTTGTAATTGAGTAAAAAATTATCAAAGCATTGGCACTCGTACTTAAGTAGGAAATTTTAGTAGTCTTTCCACCTCTGCTTTTTGATTAGAAAAATTGGCTGTATTACCCAAATTTGACAACAGGATGTCATTCTTACATGTTGCACCTTTAAGTTACAGACTTCTTGGATACTTCCACTTTACGTAAAGTGTGTATTTTCCCTGGTGATGGGGGCAGTAGTTACCTAAATAATTGCAAGCAAGCATTATGTTTGTGTTCAAGTAAGACCTTACCGGCAGATGGCCATTAGGGTAAAAAATCTTTGGGAGTGCAACCTCCAGCAAAATAACAAGAACATCGGATTCCCTTTCATTACTTGCAATGAGTGAAGAGGTAAATGTGTAAAAGAACAACGTTTGTTAATGCTGAAAGTTAATCATTTGCTACAAATCATTAAATGCATTCTGTCCTCAAGGGCTTCCATAGCAGGAAACATGGCATCCAATATGGCGTCGCCCAGAGACTTAGACCTGCTCCCATGTATTTTCAAGAGCATCTGGCTGCAGACATCAGCTGGCGTCTTTGCCGTGACAGGAAATGACGTATCCGGAAAAACAAGTGTCATTAACTTCACTGGAAGTCATTACCTTTGCCGGAAGTAGTTTTTTTTTTCGGGTCATAACCTTTGCCGGAAGTAGTTTTTTTTTTCTTGAATACGCTTTATTGACAAAACACAAAAGTAGTTTGAATTTGTCAAAACCATACCGTGTCGTTTTTCTCTTCGATTTGTACATATTTAAGAGAAAAATTACACGGTGGGTCATTACCTTAACCAGAAGTCATTACTTTCACTGGAAGTAGTTTTTTAAAAAACAAAACTTACCGGAAAAAGCTTTTTATTTCGGATTTTTTTTTCTCTTCAGATCTGGACTGGCAAACTTAAGTAACATTGTTACCTGCGTTGCATGAAAATTGAATATTAAATCCCTTTGTCCTTCAGACAGGGACTTTTTATGACAGTAGCACATACATACATGTATATATATATATATATATATATATATATATATATATATATATATATATATATTCATACACACATATATACATATATATATATATATATATATATATATATATATATATACACACACACACACACACACACACACACACACAATAAAAGGCTGTAAAGTGAATTTAAAAAACTTATGGAAAAAATGATAACACATTAAACTAAGACTTTTCAAAATGTGCAAACAAAATAGTACTTGCTAAATATTCAGTTTTATTGTTAAGCCCAAGATGAACTTTTGACCTACACCAATTGAAAAAAAGTACAGGACTCCCAGAAGCAGTGAAAAACATTTCAGCAACACTCCTCTCTCACCAGCAACAAAAATGAGTTATTAAATATCCATAACACTGTCCTATTGTGTATCACAGGAGCTCATTGCAACAGAATTTAACTACTACAGCTGATAACTATTTAGCTAGTTGGTATTTATTTTGAGTGAAAGACAATAAAACCAAAGAAACACTTAATTTCACAACCATTTTATTTTGGGTACAAATGAATTTGCTGAAGCATGGCTTTCTCAGCTGCATATCGATTCATCCCCTCCCATTTTTCCAACACATTTATTGTTACCTGAAAAACATGCAGGATTACTTCAACGTCGTCGTCTTCTTCCGCTTATCAGGGTCCAGGTCGTGGGGGCAGCATCCCAACTAGGGAGCTCCAGACCGTCCTCTCCCCGGCCACCTCCACCAGCTCCTCCGGCAGGACCCCAAGGTGTTCCCGGACCAGATTGGAGATGTAACCTCTCCAACGTGTCCTGGGTCGACCCGGGGGCCTCCTGCCGGCAGGACATGCCCGAAACACCTCCCCGGGGAGGCGTCCAGGAGGCATCCTGGCCAGATGCCCAAACCACCTCAACTAGCTCCTTTCGATCCAGAGGAGCAGCGGTTCTACTCCGAGTCCCTCCCGAATGTCCGAGCTCCTCACCCTATCTCTAAGGCTGAGCCCGGCCACCCTACGGAGGAAACTCATTTTGGCCGCTTGTATCTGCGATCTTGTTCTTTCGGTCATTACCCAAAGCTCATGACCATATGTGAGGATTGGGACGTAGATCGACTGGTAAATCGAGAGCCTGGCTTTCTGGCTCAGCTCCCTCTTCGACAGATTGGTTCAGCGACCGCATCACTGCAGACGCTGAACCAATCCGCCTGTCGATCTCCCGATCCCTCCTACCGTCACTCGTGAACAAGACCCCGAGATACTTAAACTCCTCCTCTTGAGGTAGGACCTCTCCCCCGACCCGGAGTTGGCAAGCCACCCTTTTCCGGTCGAGAACCATGGATTTGGAGGTGCTGATCCTCATCCCAGCCACTTCACACTCGGCCGCGAACCTACCCAGCAAGAGCTGAAGGTCAGAGCTGGATGAAGAAGGGAGGACCACATCATCCGCAAAAAGCAGAGACGAGATTCTCCTGCCACCAAACTCTGTTAAGGATTACTTCATACACTGTCAAATGTTTTCGAAAAGTAACTTTTATACCAATCACTGCTGAAGACTGCGTTGTACCTCTGGAACAAGGACATCAAACACCAAGTCCAGAAACTGGAACTCTCCCTTCTTTATTAGTTTATCTATTCCAGAGCATGAACCAATCCGCTCTGTCAGCTCGTCAACCTATAAAACACGTTAACATAAAAATGAACAAAACGTTCCTCTCAGCATTAGACAACAGACCCAGGTGGCCCACTGACCATGCATCCACATAAATAAATGTGATGCAGCTTATTAAAAGTCAGTATACATTTACCTGTGCATCAGCAAAGTGGAACATCAGTGGCTTTAGTCTTTGCTTTAATTTAAGCGAGACACCTGGATTGTGCCACAGATACATGAGGCCAGACTTCACTCTACCGCTGCAGAGATCCTTATACAGAGTCTGAGTAAAGACAAGAGTTAAAAATAAGCAACATTACCTCAGAAAACAAGGGATTGCATTATCCTATGTCCAATTTTAGAGTCTTAATTTATTATAATTAAACATTACCTTGATTTCACCATCTGAAATCACTGCCTGGGTTCCATTTTTCAAAGCCTCGATTGTCCTGTAATTTAGATAAAAATACATCTTATTAGCAAATGAAGAATACAAGCACATGTAAGGAGTTTTGTCAGGGTCACTTGAAGAAGTCCGATATTCATTTTAGATCTATATTTAAGGCCTGTAACTCCTGAATGATTTGCAGCTACATGTGCTTAAATCCGGTAATATTAATATAAACCAAACCCGATCAAAGCAGTCAGTGGACAAAAATATCTATTTTTTATAAGGATAGGATTATTCTGAAACAGAATCAGAAGGAGGGCGGCATTAATTAGAGAAGCGGCTACTATTTCAAAGTTATTGTACCTGTTGCATATCACCTGATTTGTGCAACCACAGTTGAATGACCCAGCACAATACCACACAATAACTGAAAAATATTTAGAGATATTGAAAGCTAAGCTTGTCCAGAAAATACATTTTATTTCTGGGTGCACAGGACCAGTTCCAGTGTGGGCCAGATGCTGAAAAATAAATTCATAAATCTGTCTTTTTTGAAGTTTCACAAATCAGAGGAAGGTTTCACAAATCACAAACTGCATTCCTACGAGCCCAGAATAATCTAAAACAGGTTTGAAGAGTGTATGTATTGTAGGTTTTGAGCTAGAGCAGAATAAAAATGGTCAGAGTAGAGAAAAATTGGGTGTATTAGCCCTTTAGCCATTTCCCGAATCGGAAGCTAACTTTAGCCTCATATGAAAACTAGTGATTGAAACCACTTACGAATCTCTGAAAATCTACGCTTTTTAATTAAAAAAGGGTATTAATAACGTTTCAGTCAAGTCAGTATTAGAAATCGTGGTCTTTATATCATATCTAAATTATATATAAAGTTAATATTATTACTTTAACTGTTTTAACAAACAGGGAGACCAGAAAAATCAAATAGCTAAGTTAAAACTAAGCTACAATTGCTGATTGCTTTATTTATGTAGCTTTTGTGTTAGCTAGCTTGTGAACTCCCTGCATTCGTTTTAAGACTGCGTGTTAATATTGATACAATTAGCTATGAAACACGGTGCCTTTGCAATAATTCTCTGGTAAAGCTTTAAACGCTATAGTGCCTACATTTAAGAACTAAGAACGGTTGCAACAATTAGTTAATTTCATCGTTATCTTTCTTTCTTTATCCATCATCCTTATCCTTACCTTTCCTCAATTGAAACCCGCCGAGTATGGTTGAAACAAAAACAACGTAGCGGCCGCCAAAAAAAGACCAACTTCCTGCCGAGGTCTTTCGCTCGTCGATTTTCCGGTAAAAGTAATGACACGCCATCTTGCTCTCGACACACCAGCTGATGTCTGCAGCCAGCTCCTACTCTGTATTTTAGACCCGATTTCTCTAATCATATGTTATGAAACCGCCAATATTTTTCAACAACTGGGTATCTTTTTAAATTCATTTACAACAACATTTCAATGGATATTTCCAGAGACTAATTATAAAAACTGAAAATTGTAACAAAGTTATTTTTTTACCCCTCCATCTGTACTTTACCCTAAGTAAAAAAAATCAAGTACTTTTTCCACCATTGCTCTCTACTCTCGTAAAGTTGGCTGGACTATTGACTACTGAGAACCAATCTCCTCCTTGTCACAAAACCAACTTTTTTGGAGAGCCTGTCTTTTTCAAACTGCCAGTGCTCTTCATGCTCCTGCCTAATCTCCACAGTTTCGCCTCCCTTCCTCTCTCCAGGGATGCCTGGATCTTCCTCCCCTGAAAGTGAGAAATGAAATAGGCTCATGAGTCCACATCCTTGTTCCCCAGCCACATAAATAACAGTAATTCTTCATCTTTGCTATTGTGACTGCACACGGAGCCCCATGCATGTTGAAACTGAGTTTAGACAGTTACAAAATAAATAAATAAATGAAGGAATATGGAACAATCAGGACAAGTCTTGATCTAAAAAAGCAATCTTTTGAATGAAGACATTTCATAACTCTAATTCAGTTTTGGTTTTGAGATGATCCTTTTGTGAGTTTTTAAAAGTGTATATGTGCTTAAATCCCAGTTTGCTATGTTTCCAGTCAGTATAATTTGTGTGCTGTGTTTTTGTTGTGAAACTGTATATAAATGGTGTTCATTTGTTTTTATATTCATATGGAGCGCTGAAGGCATGACATGAGACTGAGTCAAACAAACTCCGTGTTTTTTTATTGCTTCTTTGTGATTTATCATCTTTTGCCTCATACTCTAAGTTGACCCTCTCCATTATTCCACATATGAGTTCTGATTGGTCCAACATGGTTGTAACACAAGGGACAGAGGTGTCCTTATTGTACTGCTGTCAGGTGATAAATTACTTTGACCTCCATGCGGAACTGTTAACACACCAGGAATAAAATATATGGCTGCAGCTCTCTGTGTTTCCAGAATTTCAAGCAGTTGGAAATGACAGATCCTCCCTTTTGTCCTCATTTCTCTTCATTCACTTTTTATATAAATCCAAGAACAGCAGTCGGGTTGTTATCACGAGGTCATGTGATGCCCTGCTGTCGGCATCACTGTCAGCATAAAACACTTAGTTCTTATTTATTAATGACTCTACACAAACTTTGTGAATCTTGTTTTACAAGGTGTTTTTGAAAAGGATGAAGTTGTTACTGTCAGCTGACATTTGGATCATTTAACGGTAGAAAAAAAGTTGATAAGTGTCATGGAGAAAAACTTAAAAAATTTTTGTTCCTCACATATTTTCTGAATTGATTAAAAGGAAATTTTGGTCAATATTCAAGCTCATTTTTCTACCAAAGCTATAAATGATTACTATCTTGTAGCTAGCCTGAACATCCTCTGTTCAGAGAAGTGGAGATGACAGGACTGGCAACAAGCAGTCAGTGTGGTTATGTGTGTACTGACCGACATCTAAGTCGATCCAGGTCGATTTTATTGTAATAAGCTGGGAGTGTTTATCCTAGTTTACATGCGCATCAGAAAACCAGCTTCTCAAATAAAGTTTGTTCCATTCTGGTACAGTAGGTGGCGACATGCCCCTTTCATGTTGGCATTTCCTGTTAGCTTATAGCAACACCAGTAGTATATAGAGGCTGGCGGGAGTGAAGCAGATGGAATTGAAGCAGGATAGCACAATGAAGGAATGCACAACAACGACGCTGCAGAAAAGCTTATTTGGTACGTGCTGTTCTGTTTCACGGTGTTACGCGTGTTTCTTTGTGACGATGGTGTTGTCAGAAGACCACTTCCGGGATCTTGTCACATCCGGAACACGAGCATCCTACCGGTTTAGTTTGGCTGACCTGTTTACATGCAGGATGCAATGGGATTGCTACCACATTATCTGGGTGCTTCAGCTTGATTAGAACTAGTTCGACATCAGCCAGACTAAAACGTTTACATGCACTTAAAAAACAACGTGAGGCTTTTTAGGACAATAATTTGGTTTTCTGATGTGCCTGTAAACGCACTGAGTGAAATACATGGAAAACACAGCTGGGGGTCCAAACACCTTTCGTCCACATGGTTGTAAAAATAAATAGCACCAAAAACAATTCTTTCAAACACTGATCAAAATGAAGCTAATTCTCCTTTGTCTGCATTTGCTTGTAGATGTAAACAACCGGGGTTTTATGATCCAACGTCACTGCCTTGACAAAACTACTCCAACGTTACATGTGTGACCTATGTTTTCATTTGCTTACTTGTTTTTACAAGCTAGCTTACAGCTCTATGTAGAAACCACAGGCGAAGGACGTTGTTGTAATTAATTGCAACCTAGTCACATGTCCAAGGAAAGTTTTGGGAAACTACTGCCACCTACAGGCTTGGCATGCTTATGGATGTGCTTCACAAAGCACTGGAATTTTTTAGCTGAAAACAAGGTGGTGTGGACCACAAGATTGTTTCTAGATGGATGGGGGAGGATTTTTGGTTTTGCAAAACCCGATTACACGTGTGTTTTACGAAGGATCTTGTCTGACTCCTTTTTGTTTTTGTCATTTATAAGACTTATGGCATCTAGATGTTTATTATTTTTTTTTTTGTAAAATCACTTTTGTAATTGTAATTCTAAAATCTCTTTCTTGATAAAATAAGTCAAACCTGTTTCCATTTATGATTCTTGGAGTTGAAACGCTGAGTGAGTGCAGCGATAGTCTCCAACTGTGGGTGAAAGTAAAAATAATATGTGATGAATTTTTAGCCCAAAATGACCCAATTTTCTGTTTTATTCTTACATTGTTCTAGTCGGAGTTCATTGTTCTCATAAACTGGCGTCTAATTGAAATGTTTGAATGCCAGTGATGCATTATTCTGCATCACAATTTCTCAGTTTCTTTTAAAAAGGCCTTCTTAGAATTAGGAAAGGATGGATGTTAATGATGATCTTCAGTTTCACTTCTGATATAATGGAAACAAATGGCAACTACTTTTTTTTGTCCTGAAGTACCAGAAAAAATTAGCACCTTTTGACTAATTGGAGAGGAAGCTTGCACCTAAAACACAGCTAATTCAATTGTTTCAATTTAATTATTCTCCAACAAAACCACATAATTGAAATAGTTAATGAACAATTTCTTCCGTTTTAACAGGAAACTGTTTTAATTTCATTGTTAATGTGTCAAGAGATCCCCTGATTAACCTTTTAGGGGAATAGCTGGAGGTGCTGCCCTAAAAAAAGAAGGAAATTAATAAACCATTCAAGGTCATATTACATTAGATTATGCAAGGAGACATGTGTCTGCTGCTGAGAGAGGCTACGAGGTAAAACGGGGTGAGGGCTCATTTTTCTTCAAGTTAAATTCAGTTATCCGACACTGTTTTGCTCCAGATAAATCATTAAAAGCCTATTTGGGTTTAATATGCTATCAAGTCCTTACGGTTCCTCTCAATGTCATATATCTGGTCCAGTTTACTTCAATTCTCTTCTTTCCTTTCCCTGTAAATAAATAAAAATGCCAGGAAGGTATGCGCACACACGGCACATACCTTCCCCAAGTCTTCACATTTCATCTCAGATCCCAACCAGAGCACTGAGACCACTCCTCCAGCAGGATGAAGGGTTCTTTAATCTGTAATTTGCTGCAATCAGAGAGCCCAGACCTTCGGGTTAAAGAGTCAGACACTTGAAACGGATCCCATCACAGCATACAACAGCACACTCTCTATTTTCCCTTCTTGCGTCGGCTGCTTCGCCCCACTGGCGAGGATTATTATGGGGTCAGCCATGACACCTCTGATTTGGAAAGGTGTAGTCCTAGGCTTTCTCTCCCAGTCTGCAGCTGAGGTTTTTTATTCTGCAGCGGGGAGAATAAAAGTGTTATGACACGGTGTTTTCCTATTTGTGCAAAAGTGACAATCAAATTGATGCTGTGACACTCAGTTTGAACTCTAAATCCAAACAGCTGTTGTTCAGTCCATCACATCACTCCTTCAAAATAAAACCACTTTTATCTGGCTACAAAATAAGGCCAATTTCTTCATAAATGTTCTCTTTGTTTGTGAATGCCATTTTATTTCCTTTATATTTATTTAAATGTAAATTTCAAATTATTTCTAACCATATTATTAGATCACAAATTACTTTGAGATTTAATCCACTCATTCCAATAAAAAGCAACTGATGTATACAACTTATTAATTCACCACTCTCTAATATTAAAATGTAAAACATTTTTTATTGATGATTTCTAGCTTCACATTTCAGCAGAGTTCAAAACAAACAGCCACTGAAAAGCACACAGCGTGTATTAGATAGCTCAAAATGAATAAATGACCGGGCTGGACTGTAATGTCAGCTAGTTAAACAATCCTTTGATTAGGTGATTTTTTTTTCTTTTTTTTTTGTTGATTCAGTGAGTATTCAAATAGCAGTAGAACACGACAGCCCTTTGGGAAGATGTGGTTCTTGGAAAAAATAAGGAGTGGCCAAAACGGTCAAACTGCGATCCAATGGGCTGTTGTGTGTGGAACGCACTAAGTGGCAAAGAATGGGAGGAATGGGAGGCTAAAATCAAAGAGAGCTGACACAAAAAAAAAACAGCGGCGCTGCAAGTTTGTCATGGTGCCCCAAGCGAAAGCACAAGGAAGCTTCAGGTAGTGCAGTTCTGATTTGATTTAAAGTGGTTTTGGCCCTCTGAGGGGGCCCTTGGGGCCAGGGGGCCCCACACAATTGCCTGCCCTGCCTGTCTGCACGCAGCACCTCTGAAAATGATTCTTGCAATAATAAAGAGTTCAGTTAGGTAATGGAATAAAACTTCTGCACGGAAAAAGGGTTCAGTCGACCACTAGGTCAAGTTATATCTGGTAAGTAAGAATTTAGAATTAGTACAACTTACAAGGCAGTCATTCCTACTAAAGACCACTGCAAATGTATTGATTAGAGTGTGCCACACTATTAAGGTACAATTCCTTGTAATACTTATTGTTTGATATATTTGATTTGCTGACTTTCTTTGTATTATTTTTTAACTTGGGACAAAAAGTCTCCATCCATCCATCCATTATCATCTACTTATCCGGAGTCGGGTCGCGGGGGCAGCAGCCTAAGGCGAGAGGCTCAGGCTTCCCTCTAATGGGGCCAGCTCCTCCGGGGGAATCCCAAGGCGTTCCCTGGCCAGGTGAGAGACATAGTCCCTCCACCGTGTCCTGGATCTACCTTTAGGTCTCCTCCTGGTTGGACGTGCCCGGAAAACCTCACCAGGGATGCGTCCAGGAGGCATCCTGACCAGATGCCCGAGCCACCTCAACTGGCTCCT